CATACAGACATACAGACATACATGTGTACATACATACAAACATACATACATACATACATACATACCTACGTACGTACGTACGTACGTACGTACGTACGTACGTACGTACGTACGTACATATATACACGCATACATACAGACAGGCATACAGAAGTAACTAGCAAGCGCAGATGTAGCCGTAGTAGTAGCAGCAGCATTGCTAGTAGTAGTAGTAGTAGTAGTAGTAGTAGTAGTAACTTAGTAGTAGTAGTAGTAGTAGTAGTAGTAGTAGTAAGTACTACTGTAGTAGTAGATCTGATTCCTCTGATTTGCGTTGTCGCCTCCAGGCTGGTTCGCGGTCCAACTTTGCGAGGGCCACCTGCACTCGAGAAGAGCTAGTTGAAATGCGCTCCGAACTGGAGGGTTCTTTCAGCATCGATTTCGCCTTAATTTTGCAGCTTGCGACGGTCAGCGTTGAACCGTAAGAAATAGACAGACCAAAGGCCATAGGCAAGTGTTCAAAAAAAGGATGCTGCTGATGATGAGTATAACCATAATAACAAAAAATACCAGAATGGAGCTGATAGTCCAAAACCGTGGGAACACCCATGTTCGGGATGAGGGGTGGTGGCCTTGTTCCAACTACGCCTAGTAGGCTGTTGCATACTGGTGATGCCCGTGATAGCGATGCCGCCAACTTCGATGACGAGCAGGTCACATCAAAACACCGATCATCACCAGTCGGGGCTTGCATGCCATGTTCGACGTTGGGATGGTTGCGTCCTGTTGGTGCTGACAATCTGATTCATGCTGCCGCTCCCACTGTGCCCTCTGCTGCATTTGCTGTTCTTGCCGAAGCTGCTGCTGCCGGTACTCCTGCTGCTCTTGAAGTGGTTCATGTTCTTGTTCTGGCTTGTGTTCATGTAAACGGATTGGGTCGCAGTAGCAAGATTCAACTCCACCCATGTTCCTTCGGTTTTTGGTAGATGTCGAGCTACTTCTCAGCTTCGCAGGTGTCGGCGCAAGTGGTGGCATCGGTGCTCGTAGTGGTCAGCACAAGCGAATGAGGATAACAGTTTGAAAATGATGATGACGACGGTAATCGTGCCCTAGCCCAACACTGCTCGCCTCCAGGCACTCGAGGACCCGTGCAGAGCTTCGGGCGGCCGACGGCTGCCTCAGGAGCTCGGGGCACGAGTAGAACATCACAGCTGTCAGAGCCATACTGCACCACAAGTTACTCCCGGAACCCGTCCAAGCTTCGAACTGTGCAGGTGAAAGCAGCTCGGTCACCTGAGAGAGTGCCGTCTGTGGTTTTCCGCATCTTAGCTTCTGACATGGCAATGTGGCAGCTACCTGCACCTCTGTGCCGCACATGAGTCTAGATGTATATGTGTATTGATGTGCTTGGATTTCCTTCTTGAGTGGGATCTTGATCTCTGCACCAGAACCCGATAAGGATGGCACGATGTCAGCCACATCCTTGGTTGGCTCCTGCTGCTCCCTTGCCACAGGCAACATTTTTGGCTTGAGAGAAGGGTCTCGCAAAAGCTCAGAATCGGTCGCTCACTCCAATGTTGCAGTCTGCTAGTCTGTCAAAGTTTTGGGCTTCTGCGTCGATCGGAAGACCCATGTTCCGAGCAAGTCGACATGAAAGCTTCAGATTCCGCCCTTTTCCGCTGCCTGCGCTGGCGAAATCGGCCGTAAAGAAGAGCTGATGGACTGGACGGGGGTTAGGGGTTTAGGGTTTAGGGAGGGCCACAGTAGCTTAGATTTGTGAGTTTGCGGGACCGGCATCATGGACTACTCTCTGGCACGAGGTCAAGACAATCGGTTGACGAAATGCACGGTTGCAAAGCACTCGTATCTAGACTCTAGACAGGGACTGGCCACTTCGACATTCTTGCAGCGCAAAACTGACCTGCATATGCACTGGGAGACAGAAAAGAGGTGATCCATGCGAGCCTTTCTGCACGGCCAACGCCTCCCGGCAGTCGCCCACGCTGCATCAGCTCGAGCTTGGGAGGTCCGCTGCCGTTTCGGGTTTAGGGAAGTTCAAAGTCCGTGCTTGTTTTGGGCTGAATGCTGCATCGCGCCTCACCTCCTGCAAACGGCAGGAGGACAAGGCTCTTGACCGGTCAAGGCCTTGCGAGGCTTGATCCTCAATAGCACCGGACAGCCGCAGGTTGTGCTACTGGAGAGAGAGCCTGCGTTGATGCGACCTGTGCTCTGCCGTACAGCGTGTAAACTGGGCAACCTGTCGGATGTGCTGACCACGGACCACAAGCTATGCGCAGCTACCGGTATGCAGCAGAGCAACACCTGCAAGCTGCTGTTACCACTACGAGCCGATTGAGAACACAAGTGGACCTGACATCGCAGCACTGACAAGCGACAGCCAACAACAACCAATTCCTTTTTACCCGGTAGGGACGCGCACTGATACTGATGATCAACTCATTAACTGCAATGTCTGGGCATGCAGAGGCGGCAGAGGCCGGCGTGACTTCAGACAAGTGTGCCTAGCTTGGATTGTCGAACTTGGCAGTAGCTTGCCGGGGAGCACATGTGCAGGTGCTGTAGGCGAAGACAGCGAATCACATCACTATAAAGAAACCAGATGCAATCGGTACTCGGCCGTTACACGGGCACCATGTATAGCAAGCATACGACAGCAAGTCGAGGCATAAACAAGCAGTTCCATCACACATCGATAATTATTGTAAGCATTACATGATGCTAACACTAGTAGCAGGCCGGGTTAGCAAGGGCAGTTTGGATGGCTGGAAAGGAATATCCTAAGCTCCGCATGCCCGGACAGCTACATCCGCAGCTCGCAGTGACACGACAGCACTGCAGGGAGCGCGGCGGTTCATTATCTGAGCTGGCAAGTGGCAGGAACCAGGTGTTTCATGGTTATCCCGTACCAGATTCTGAGCACCCGTCTCGTCACACCTCTGCTTGTCCATATTCTATTATAACTGTTAGCCGAGGATTGCTGCCCAGACCTGCCATTGCATATGTACACCGGTAGCCAGGCAACGGTTGCTTCATCGCCCGACCCACCGTGCAGACCGAATCGATCATCATTCGGGCGAGGGTCTCTGGCTTTCCGGATTGGATGGAATCAGTTGCGGTGGCTTTCAAGGGCTCTGGCTTCTTCTGAAAAGACTCGAAGTACTACGACTCTGCCAAGACTCACAGCCACCGACATCCGTTAAGCTTCGAGATCTTACAGCTTAACAAAATCACTCTTCGACTCAACGACTTGTATAGCAGTTTACGAAGGTACAGTAGGACATCCTCATCGACTTCCCAGTCTATTCTGTGCAGTCTGCGTGCCCGGAGACTAAAGCTGAGCTCAAACCTGCAGAAGAAAGCCCTCGAAGATCGATCAGTTGTACTTTGCTAGGCAGATTTCTAGAATTCTACCTCACGCATCATGAGACTGCAACTATACGTAAATGACAAACTTCGTCACAAGGCTTCAAGGTCGTCAGAGTTTCGGCCGGAGTCGGGGAACGAATAATGTGCAGTTCTGCTGCTCTTTCATTTTGGGCCGCCTCAATCGGTTCAGTCGTATCTGCTCTTTCGTACACTAACCCGCTTCGATGCCAAGAGTCCCAAAGCTTGTTCCTTTCACCGGCCAGTCACGCTCGATTCGCGTCCTGATCGCCGGCCGAACTAGCTGAACCTCAGGAATTGACGCTGCTGCAGCCCAGGAACCCTCAACCCCTACATATCATGAACCTGAACCCTCAGCCACAAACCCCAAAGTCAAAGACAGAATCACCCTGACCCCAAACCCCATTTGAAGCTCCCTTCTATAGACAACCTATTATAGAAAACCCCCTAAACCCTAAACCCTGAACCCAAAACCCTAAACCCCAAACCCCTAAACCCAAAACCCCTAAACCCAAAACCCTAAACCCAAAACCCCTTAACCTAAATCGGGCAGCTGCTCCCAGACGAGGATGCCGAGCTCGAGGTCTTGCTGCTCCGGGACGAGTCTGGGAACGGATGTTGGGGAAGGGGAACTGCTAGTTTTTAGGGGTTAGGGTTCTGCGGTTCGGGGGGTTTAGGGGTTTGAAGGGTGTAGGGGTTAGGAGTTTAGGAATTTCCGTTGATTGTCCACTACTTTCGATGAGTTTGTACCACGCAAACGCAAAACTGCCGATTTCCCTTATCTTCTGGCTTCCACACGTACATCGACTGGCATTGACACACCTCGTCAGCATATGGCAAGGTATTTGCACAGATTGGACCAGAGGCCCTGACAGCTTCACACAACTTGTGGCAAACCGCTGGAACCTAAAATCACCACCGTGGGATGCTAGCAGGTGGGAGACTAGTAGCTCGGGCTGGGGTACAAATGCATTAAACCGTTAGGGACTCGGAGGCTTTATATTGGGAGGAAGCGATTGCAGATCGATCTACCCACTCCTTTTGACGTTGCCAGTGTTCAGTCTATGCACAAGGACAGATCGCCAACCCCTACGAAGAATGCGACCAACAAGAAGGCTGCTGGCTGCATAGAGAAAGAGCGGATTTCAATACATGGGCGGCATGCATAAATTATGAGGCGGGCGAGTGCCTGCAGGCCGGATGTACTCATGAACAAAGATGAAAAAGTACAGATCTGTTGACACATGTCTGGTGGCAAACAGCACACCTTATGTGCAGACATGTGGAGCCCAGTCGTGGGCATTGGCACAAGCAACTTTGAACTTCTGATTTAACAGCATGTGATGCCTCACATGAGCAGAATCTGAGTAGAACTTAACAAAGCCGTGTTGATTCTTCTCAACCACGCTACCGAAAAGAAGCAGGTTCTCAAGGTGCAGAAAAATCAACCAAGACCCAGATAAAACAAGGCTTACCCTTCACTCCATGATTTGGGGTTGATGTGATGATCGGCGACTTGCCATTCAGCCGAAGGGACTGGAACTCCGTGAACTCGTAGCACTTTCCTTCCGGATGAGGGCCATAGCACCATACCCAAACCCCACAACAACTCCGTTGCAGTCGGATGGACGCTGCAAACGTCCGTGCTGCCCATCGTAGGTAGTCCCGATTCGCAGACAAGATTCCAATCAGCCATCACCATGACCATGGCTAGGATTAATTATCATCAGCAGCACGGGGTCTTCGCAAGACAGTATTTTGCCAAGCCAAGCTTTTCGCCGAACTCTGCTCAACTCAATCTTTGGAGCTACAGTAATGGGCACTTCGGGTATGTTGGAATGGTAGGCTTCGTTTGGGGAGCGTAGAGGCTAAGGAATCGCGAACATCCACATCTTGGTGTCCGAGACACCTGTGATCGAGACCTGGCAGAACTCGATCGGCTGAGGGACCTTCTAGAGCTGGATGGAACCTGGCAGGCTTGGCTAGGCTGGACTGAGGCCATCCACAGTCGCTGCGAGGCGTGAAGATTCCATGCGCTTGTAGATGAACCCAAACCCGTCTTCATGCTTTTCATTGTTGACAGGACAGCTTAGCGAGCCAAAGCTCTGCAAAGGCCTCTGAGCCATCAGCTATCTGGCTGAAAGCGGTCAGAGGTGTTCACAAAGACCCCTGCTTCCCTCCGCTCCCCAACGATACCGATCCCCACACACCCGCCTGGGCCCACCCCTGGCACGATTGCAAAAAAAATCATAAATCACTTCATACAAGTATCCTCCACTCAGTTTGCCGGCCCATACCGGGCCTTCTTTTGCCCGATCCGCAGGGGGACGACGCGAAGCGTTTACACACCGGGCTATTTATGAAAGTAAGCATCCGTCAAGCGGCAGAACTTGCCGCGGGAGTGGATGCTTCCTGACGGAACTCGTCGGATGAACGCTCTCGGTGCAACATCTTCCATGAAGGATGTGGCGTTTGTGTGTGCTTGTGCGCGCGTGCCTGCGTGTGCGTGTAAAGCATGATTGTCGATGTGCCTGTGTTTGTTTGGGCGACGCCATTAGAAGCCGATCCACATAACCCGAACCACAAGCTTCTGAATGCTTCGAAAGCTTCTGCCGGAGCAGCACTTTCGGCTGCATCGGCTGCCGGGGGCGCCCCAGCAATTTTGCTAGGTGACGGCTTCCTGGGTCTCAGGAATTAAGACTTTACTACCGTGCTGCTAGGACTACTGTTATTCGCTACTACAACTTCTGCTGTTGTCGTCATCTTTTGGCATGAACGCTCGAATTACAGCTTCACAACCGTGGTTACTGCTGTTAAGGGTATAGTGAAAATCGCGAGGAAGCACGAGGTCCATAGACGTATACCTAATGTAAGCATAGTAAGTCTCATTACTCATATGGTTTGACATGTGCGGCACACTCAGTTTTTCCTTCAGAGACTCGTTTCAGAGTTACAAATGCACTGGCATATTCATAAGCCCACTTCCAAGCCGCCCATCCTACCGTTGAAAATGTGGAGCACATTGGAGCACTCGGAATTCGAAAGTACCAGTCGTTGGCCTGTTGGCAAGGCCTCTTATGTACGTTGAGGATCGTTGAGGGGGATACATGGGATAGGCCCCAAAGCGCAAACGCCGTCAAGGACCTGGAGATGTAGGACTGTGCAGACCATGATCCTGTCCTACAACCCCGGATTCCGTCCCCCGTCATCAGACTTATTTTCTCCAAGGCACACCAAAAGGGACAGTCGTCCGGCGCGGCGCGCCATCTGAGGCAATGGGAAGTCATAGATTTTACGCTCGAGTACGCAGTTGTTGTGCATGGAGACATGAACGCAGGCCTGTTTGAGACGTGGACACACTCTATACTTGACTTCTTCTGTAAACATACCAGCGTGGTGAGGTGCTCCCAGTCCCAAAATCTGCAGAACGGCCCGGCAGCCTTCTGAAGCCGCTGAGATAATCGTCGGTGTGACGGAACTGCCTGCCAGGGACCGCGAATTCCAATTAGCGGCTGAGAGGTCCTAAGTTTCCCCAACCCCTCAGGTACCTACTATATAGGGCACTGGAGCCCCGAGGGCCCTATATAGTAGGTACCTGGGGGGTTAGGGTTTGATTTCCCAAGTTCTTCCAGTCTTTGTGTTGAAAAGGCTCGCCATCCTGGAAAGGGCAATGACTCTTGTCATGCTTGTTGTCAAGAGTGTCACTCACTGACCAAAAGTACATAAAAGATTGCATGATTCCTACACATGATCATTCTTGCAAATCGTCCGCATCGTTCCGTGTTCGTAGTGCTTCACCGAAGGTTGTTGGGTCCACGAGACGACTGTCGAGAATTTGGTTCCGGAGCTAGTTCCGGGGCATTCAGTGGTCCAGTGCGTTTGGTCGAAACAGTTTCGGGAAGCGCAACCAAGCCGGTGCAAGGTTCAGCCTAGCACGAAACTGCAGCGATGTTCCTTCTCAGCCGTGAGAACCAAACCGAAAAACCGTTGCTATTACGCACTGCATTGCGGCCTGCATTGAGACCTGCTCAGGCGGGCGTGGGGGAGGCTCCAGCTGGCTTTGCACCTCTCGTAGAGTGGTCTGCAACGGAAGCTGCTCCCCATGACAAAGGAGCAGACTGGGAACTCGACAGCCATGCAGCGCGAACGCTCAACACTCGAGGCAAACCATGTGAACTTGCAACGATCGTTACGAAGAAAGCGACGATACATAGCACCCACGTGCTCTTGACTCCACATCCGGGGCGCTCACTTTCAGTGACGACCTCGTAGCGACCTCTTAGTCTTTGACTCGGACATCCCCCGGCCTCCCCTCGCGTCTCAGCCGCCTGCTTTGAGGCCTCTTCGAAGGGAACGGGAAGCAACGTGGTCTGTGGGGTTGACGGCACAAGTAGCTTGGAGCAGCTTTGATCTGCTCTCCAACTGGCCGGATCTGCGAATCCAGGTCACCAAGAGTTCCCATTCGAGCCAGGATCATTGCTGTTGAGGGTTTCTGTAGGGTGGCTTCACCTGTGAACTCAAGTGACATGACCGATCGTTGACGACGGTGCCAAGACTTGCCTCACGCAATTCTCGCAAGGCACCGTCCACGTGCAAGGACTCCTGCAAGCAGTCTCGCGTTAGAAACTTGTCGCGCTGTCTAATCATCTCGGCCTGAAGCATTAAGAACACTGCCTAGCAGAATCAGAGATGTGATGCTGCCACTTTGTAGTGATCATACCGGACGGAAGCCATCGTAAAGAACCCACAGCCTGGGAAAGCCTGACCATGATGGCTTTTAGGAAACATGTCCAATCGAGTGGCTTACATGCGGAATCCAGCTGCTAGCGGCGAAAGTATGATGCGTGTCCTGCGTAGCGGCACAACAGCAGCAGCAAAGCCAAATGTAGAGCCGAGACAAAATCGATCCGGGAATGCCGAAAACGACCTGAGCTGATGCGACATCATCACAGGGTGCCAGAGAAGCCCAGCTGATATCTAGCGAGCAAGTTCGTGCAAGGACCTGCAAGCTGCCGTACCAGGGCCCGCCCAGGACGCCAGCAAAAGCTTCATACTGTCTGAGAGGGAAAGGAAATCATGGCAATGAGCTGAATAATCATGACGAATGAAAAGGTTTCCCATTCCATTAGCCATTATTCCGAGGAGGAAATAATGCCAGAGGGCTCTCTGTTATTTCTTCGCGTGCCCCATGACTCGCCAGGCAGCATGCATCTTAACACAACCTACCAGACTCCCTTCTTAGCAGGAGTGGTGAATCCTGCCGACCCCAAGAGCCTGAAAGCCACAACTGAAGGCATCGTGTCAGCCTCTCCCACATCTGATTTCGCCCGGCAGCAGCCATACGAGAGCGCATGGTGCACCCCAGGCATGGCCAGCAAATGGGGCCAAAGAAGCAGCAGGCGCAAACTCCTCACGGAAATCTCCGTACTACATGTCAGCCAGGGCCACGGTTCATGGCTTGGACGTGCGCAATGCGACTCAACAGCAGCGAACTTTCAACTTTCCGGGGTGATGGGAAGCCGAGATGTGCCGGTGTCTGACGAGCGGATGCAGCTACCGAGACGTCTGCAGAAAGGCTGGTCCTAGCCAGTAGGGTAGCACGCCGCCGCGGTACCAGGTTGTAGGCATCCGGAGACAGGGGCAGCAGCACAAGGCGCAGAGAGTGGTCGTATCACCTGAAGTTGAAGTGGGTTTCTACGTCACCTCGGGCGCCTTTCCAGCAAACATGTAAATGCACCGAAACTACTTGATTGCCTCCAAATGTCGGGATGACAGAACAATGTAAGCGACCGCGCCGTTTCTGGATTGAGAACGAGTGAAGAGTAGCTGCAGAGTGTCCATTCTCTAAGATACTTTCGACAACAACGGCGAGCAGATCTACAAACAGTGGCCAGAACAGCCTGCCGTTCTGCAGAATGACAGAAAAACCGTCCCGGCGATAGGCTACAGAACGAGAAGGTTTCAGGAGCTGCTTGCAGGAGATGTCAAAGCCTAACCCCCCAGGTAACTACTACATAGGGTCCTAGGGGCTCCAGTACCCTATATANNGGGGGCTTAGGGAAACTAAAAGAAACTGCCCAGAGCTCAGGGGTCGGCGAAGGCGGCTTTGTGACAAGGGCGCCCAGCTGTATCGATGGCTCTCCTCGCCAGCAAGACAGGATGTGGTCGGTGCCGGTGGAGTCTGCTGCATGACTTCACTTTCGCCTTTCACCAGCGGAATCTGTCGCGTAGCCCTGATCGGCACCCGGGGGGGGGGGGGTATGCGACAACGAAGAAGGCCCCTGCAATGCCTCTCTGACGAGATCAGCAAGCTGCAGCTGGTTTGGCCAAGCCTAATGGAACCTCATGCTCATGGAGCCCGGTCCGGGATTATGTACACAGAGCGGTACGAGGTCTCGTCCCAGCCGCCTGGGAAGGCCAATGAGTCTCAGATCGCTATAGGTGCTACGAAACCATCGGAATAGGTGTCTAAGTGTTCCTCATGGCCTTTGGAAAATGGAGGATGGCAGCGTGCCATCGTTGACCGTATCACCTGCCTCAATCCCACAACCCTACCGGAAACCACACCTGAAACCGTCTGCGCTGCCGCGAGGCCGAGCTGAAAAGCTGCATGCGGCCGGACAAAGCAGCGATAATGGACGGCCGCAACAGCAAAAACGACCTTCCGAGTCTGAAGGTTGGGGGAGAGGTCCGCACACAGCCACACTCATGCTGTCGATTGCTGCCGGATCATCGTACTGTACTGAGAAGTACAAGTACAATTATAAGTATTGGCAGAAGCAGTCGTAGTTGTAGTCGTCGTAGTCG